TGGGGGTGGGGAGAGAAAGAAGGAGAGAAAGGCAGAGCCAAACCCAATGAAGGAGGGCGGGAGGGAGGGAGGGAGGGTGTCGTCACCATCCTGCCCCGCCTCCTCAGTCCATGGATCCCAGGAAAACCTGTACAACTGTATGGCTTCGCCCTACTTCTCAACGCCCGAGTAAAAGACCGGCGACAGAATCCAGCCCAAAGTGGGCGCTTTCAAGTCCATATGGGAGGAGGACGCCGGAGCCTTCCGGGGCCATCCAGGGTAGGCACAGGCTGACTCCCTTGCCCGGGCAAAGAGTCGTGCGTCGCCGGCGTTCCAGTTCAAGCCAAGGGGATGTCAGGACTGGTCCGACGGAGGGGTCCCTTCCTGGACAGGGATGCTGCAGCAGCCGACCTGGCTGGCTGCTGCAGAAACGAACAGCAGGCTGAGGTGGGGTTGTCTGAAGGATGTGGGGAGGCTGAAAGGACTGCTTCCAAGGGAGGGGGGGGTTCACCACAGGCTGAGGGCTCAGATGCGGGTTTCCCCAGCCAGAGGACAGCTGGAGCTCCTCCCTGGGTCTATTGGGGGCAAGTCAAAGGAGGTGGCTGGGCAGGCTGGTGGGAACAACTGCGGTGCTCCTCTGGAGGGAGGAGAAATCTCGAAAATTACTTCCCAAAGCGGGAGGCTCCTCCAGGCCCACCTCCGCAGAGGAGATGATGATGCTCTCTCCCAAAGCGTCTCAAAGAACAGGGGAGACACCGACGAATTGGGGGGGGGGAGGGTGGGGGGGGGGGGAGGCGGGAAGACGCCACTGGCTGGCGGGCCAGTGATTTGGAAACACTCCCGGCGAGTTCGCAAAACGCACACCCGCACCAAGCACCGCGGAAGCTGAGGCCCGAAACTCTCAGCCCGATATTTGGCGACTCGTTCTCTGGCTCCCTCCTGCCCTTGCGCACCTGTGCATATGCGCGCGCCCCCGTGTGTGAGAGGGGGTGGGGGTGTGTCCTTAGCTGCCTGGCCCGGAGCACTACTAGCCAAAGGGCCAGGGCGCCGGAAGGACCCCGAGACACACCAGGCGCTGGCCCAGTCTTGTTCTCCCCCCCATCCCACCCCTGTTCCCGGGGGGGACGTCCTCCGTGCTGGGAGGCGCCAGAGCTGGCTTGCGCGGCTGCTGTCCATCTCCTGGGCATCTGGGCGTTGTCCCATCCGGCTGCCTCTCCCTTGGGAGGGTGGCAAGTGGGTCCCGGGATGGGGCAAGGAGGGCCAGCCGTGGGGAGCGGGCGGTTGAGCCGGAGCCCCCGTCGGGGGAGGGCTGGGAGGCGCAGCTCTTGGGGGGGGGAGGCGCCCGGCCGGGCCCGAGGGGACGGGCCAGAGGAGCGGCCCATTGTTTGCGTCAAGCGGGCCGTCGGCGGGCAGTTGCCCTCTCGGGCAGGCTCGGCGGCCGCCTGCGAGCACATGGTGGCCGGGCCTGGCAGGGAGCGGAGCAGCCAATGGGCGCCGCGCCCGACGTGATGTCAGAGCGGCGCTAGAAAAGGCGCGGAGCCTTGCGCGGGGCTGGGACTGCAGCGGCTCCGGCCCGGATCGCGGCTCCTCCTCCCGCTCGGCTCGCCCGGCCCTCCCTCCCCGCCGCCCTCCCCCC